GACACTAGTGGAATTCAGGTGTTTCTGGTACGTGGACTGTTCTCACCCAATGTGGAGGTTGAACTGTTGACCTTGTGTACATCCTACTTCACAAATGAGTCTGTCAGATACGCTAAGCCTATAGGCTGAAGATGATGCCCCAACACTGCGGAGAAACCTCAGGTGACTGCCCAGGCAGCTGGCTGTTTCTGTCAAATCAAAAATTTTTTGGAAGTTGCTTGCATACACTTCCTGTTTTTACTTTTGTTAGCTAATATTATTTCCTTCTTGGGTCTCTGAGGGAATTGAAAATTAGATAGTTGTAGTTGAAGATTAGTTAGTTATAGTTGAAGATTAGTTAGTTATAGTTGAAGATTAGTTAGTTAAGTTGAAGATTAATTAGGATAGAAAGTGAATTAGATACATTTTGGACTTACCAAAATAGGATAGATAATGAAATTATTTTCTCTGAATTTGTCAAATACAAATGGACATTGTTTAGGCATTTATTACTCATATATATTGTATATAGTTATTGTACTTTTGTATATAGTTTTTCCTTTGTTAGTTATAACCTTTTGCTTTTTTTCTTTTTATTAAAATAGAAAAGGGGAAATATGGTGGTACTTTATTTGTACTGAAATGTGATTTTAATTGTATGTTAATAAATAAAGTTGCTTGGATGTCAGAGCTAATAGCAAGCCATAGCAGAGCTGGGCGTTCGTGGCTCATGCCTTTAATCCCAGCACTTGGTAGAAGAGTTAGGTAGATCTCTGTGTGGTCAAGGATACAGCCAGCATTGGAGACACACACCTTTAATCTCAATACCATAGAAGACCTGGAGGGCTGTACATACAGGCAGTGATGAGGCATTCATGTGTTTGGGTTTACAACCAATGAGAAGGCAAAACAGAGAGACTACATAAAGACAAACACACAGGAAGTAGGTCTCTTTCAGAGAGGTAGGACCACTGCAGGAGGAAGAGTAAGGTTTTAGCTCTGAACTCTGACCTCTTGGCTTTCTTCTTTACATTGGTTCTGTGTTTCTTATTTAATAAACGGTTGGTTACATCTACTTCCTACCTAAAAATGGACATGCCTGTGAAGGTACAAGAAGCTTACAGAACACCAAATAGACTGGACCAGAAGAAAAAGATCTCCTCACAATATAATAATCAAAACACTAAACATACAGAATAAACAAAGAATATTAAGAGCTTCAAAGGAAAAAGGCCAAGTAATATACAAAGGCAGACCGATGAGAATTATACCTGATTTTTCAGTGAAGACTCTGAAAGCCAGAATGTCCTGGGAAGATGTTTTGCAGACACTAAGAGATTATGAATGCCAGCCCAGACTACATATACTCAGCAAAACTTCCAATCACCATAGATGGAGAAAACAAGATATCCCATGACAAAGCCAGACTTTAAACAATACCTATCCACAATTCTAGCCCTACATAAATACTATAAGGAAAATTCTAACCCAAGGAAGTTAGGTGGACCTATGAAAACACAAGCAATAGAAAATCTCACACCAACAGGTCCCAAAGAAGGGAAACACACACATACTACCAACAACAACAACTAAACCAAAAAAATAACAGGAATTAACAATCACTAATTGTTATTAATTTGTTGTCATTAATATCCTTTTATAATCAATAGGCTCAATTTTCCAATAAAAAGACATAGACTAACAAAACATATGAACACAGGAGCCATCCTGCTGCTGCTGCATACAAGAAACAAACCTCAAATTCACAGACAGGCATTACCTCAGAGTAAAGGGTTGGGAAAAGATTTTCCAATCAAATAGACCTAAGAAGCAAGCTGGTGTTGCTCTCCTGATATCTAACAAAATAGACTTCAAATTAAAATTAATCAAAAGAGATCAAGAAGAATATTTCATATTTATCACAGAAAAAATCCATCAAGATGAAATCTCAATTCTGAACATTTATGCCCCAAATGCAAGGGCACCCACATTTGTAAAAGAAACACTACTAAAGCTTAAATCACACATCAGATCACACATACTAATAGTGAGAGACTTGAACACACCACTCTCATCAGTGGGTAGGTTTGCCAGACAAAAACTTAACAGAGAAATAAGGAAACTAACAGATCTTATGACTCAAATGGACTTAATAAACAGCTACAGAAAATTTCACCCAAACATAAAAGCACCTCATGGAACCTTCTCTACAAATGACCACATAAGTGGTCACAACCAAATCTCAACAGATACAAGAAAAAATTGGAATAGCCCCCTGTATGTTGTCAGATCACCATGGTTTAAGGTTAGAATTCAACAACAACACAAACTTCATAAAGCCTACAAACCGACAAACGCAGGGAAGCCGAACAACTCTCAACTGAATTACCACTGGGTCAAGGAAGAAATAGAGAAAGAAATTAGATTCTTAGATTCTTCCTAGATTTCAATGAAAATGAAAGCACACCATAACCAAACTTATGGGACACTATGAAAGCAGTACTGAGAGGAAAGTTTCATAGCACATAGCAACTTATAAAGAAGGAGAAATCTCACACTAGGAACTTAACAGCACACCTGAAAGTTCCAGAACAAAAAGAAGCAAACTCACTCAGGAGGGGTAGAAGTCAGAACATAATCAAACTCAGACTGAAATCAATAAAATAGAAACAAAGAGAACAATACAAAGGATCAATGGAACAAATAATTGGTTCTTTGAGAAAATCAACAAGATAGACAAACCCCTATGCAAACTAACCTAAAAGCAGAGACAGACTACCCAAATTAACAAAATAAGATGAAAGGGGGACATAACAACAGATGCCGAGGAAATCCAGAGAATCATTAGATCATACTTTAAAGACTTGTACTCCACAAAATTGGAAGTCTAAAAGAAGTGGACAAATTTCTTGATAAGCACCACA